ACCATGCTGACCAATGCTCCAGTGCTGGCTTTGCCAGACCCGTCCAAGCCCTACGAGGTGGTGACTGATGCCTCGACAGTAGGGATTGGAGCAGTTCTTTTGCAAGAAGGACGCCCCGTGGCATTTGAGAGTAGAAAGCTTTCACCGGCTGAGCAGCGCTATACAACTTCCGAACAAGAATTGTTGGCGGTTGTGCATGCGCTACGAACATGGAGATGTTATCTCGAAGGTGTTGACTTTGTGGTCACGACCGACCACTGTCCGAACACCTATTTTGCCACTCAAGCCACACTCACCCGCCGTCAAGCTCGATGGGCTGAACTCCTGAGTGGGTTCACCTACGATATTCGATATCGAGCGGGCTCGACGAACATGGCTGATCCTCTGAGCAGACAGCCGATTGGGGCAGCAACGGGTGTTGATGATAAGGAACATGAAGCTGTGTTTGCTGCTTGTTTCAACATCCTCGCAGCTGCTCGAGTGAGCGAGATTGCCTTTGGTGGTTTTCTGAAACGCATCCGCGCAGGGTATGATATTGACCCTTGGTTTCAGAACCCACAGAATACAAACAATCTCTTGTGGGAGCATGAGCTCTGGTGGCACAAGAAAGAAATTGTAGTCCCACATGTGGGAAACCTGCGGAATGATATTCTCGCAGAGGTGCACGCCACTAAGTATGGAGGACACCTGGGTGTCAAGAAAACCCGGTGGGCCCTCAGTGATGTATACTGGTGGCCGGGATTGGGCATTGAGGTCCAGCAGTTTGTAACTCGCTGTGACACGTGTGCACGGAACAAGCCGAGCACACAGAAGCCTGGTGGTCTGCTTCAACCACTTGAGATTCCCGATGAACCTTGGGAGAGTGTATCGATGGATTTTATCACCGATCTCCCCAAGACGCGAGATGGTCATACAGCGATACTAGTGTTTGTGGATCGCTTGACCAAAATGGTGCACTTCGTGCCCACGACGACTGACGTGTCTGCGGAAGATACGGCAAAGTTGTTTGTGACACACGTTTTCCGCTTACACGGTTTGCCTCGTGTGATGGTGTCTGACCGAGACCCGCGCTTCACAAGCTGGTTCTGGCAAGAGGTCATTAAGACACTCGGAACGAAACTCAAGATGTCGTCTGCGTTCCACCCGCAAACGGATGGACAGACAGAGCGGACCAACCGCACTCTTGAGCAAATGCTTCGTTCTTTCATAAGCCCAACTCAGGACGATTGGGATGAATTGTTGCCAGTCGTGGAATTCGCTGTAAACAATTCTGTGCATGAAAGCACCCATGAGAAACCCTTTGTCCTGAACTGTGGTCGGCACCCCACAACCCCCGCGACGCATGGGATTAAGAACCTCAAAATCCCTGCCGCAAAGGACTTTATTGGAAATCAGCAAGCGGCATTGAAGTCCGCTCGCCATTGGCTGCAGCTTGCCCAACAGAGGCAAAAATCCTATGCCGACATGAAACGCCGGGAAGTCGTTTTTGCAGTTGGCGACAAAGTATTACTGAGTACGAAGAACATTCGTCTCAAGATCCCGGGAGCACGAAAGCTTTTCCCTCGTTGGATTGGGCCCTTCGAGGTGATTGCGCGTGTTGGTGAGGTCGCATATAGGCTCAAATTGCCTGCGACATTGCAGATTCACAACGTCTTCCACGTGTCTCTGTTGAATAAGTACGTTGCAGAAGGCAAGTACTTACCGCCACCAACCATCGCTCTCGAGAAGGAACTCTTTTACGAAGTCGAGCGTGTGCTAACGCACCGTGATCGACAACGCGGCCGCAAAACTGTTCGTGAGTTCCTAATTCAGTGGAAAGGCTATGGGCCGGAACACAACTCTTGGGAGCCTGAGGAACACTTGACCGAAGCAGCGGTTCAAGCGTATATGGAAGACCTGGCTCTACGAGCAGGCCCACAACCAGTGGACGGGGTTGACCCTGGTCGTAATGTGGTGCGCCGTGCTCGAAGCACTCGTCCTCAGAAGCACCCTAGGGCAACGGGGACGTTGCCACCTGGGGGGGGAGGAGTGTAACGTATTACCCTAACTACCGAGCTAACAACCATCGATCTCTCTCTAAGTCAATTGTTGAGAACTTCTCTCGACAAAGGAAGAGTTGGAGAAGATGGTTGAGTTGGTTGGGATGAAACTTGGTTTGGGTTTGCCAAGCCTCAACTTTGGAGGTTTGGAACATTTCCAACTCAACCAAGAGAATGTTGAAGGTTGGAATTCCAACCAATCAGAAACTGCCAAACAAGTGTTACAATCTACTCTATCCTAAACACAACCATTGAATGGTTCTAAGTTGGGTTTTCCAACCCAACACAATTGCCACATAGGCTCCAAGCCTAGGAACCATCCCACCATGGAAACCATGGTTGGGATAGTTCCCCAAGGGGTGTATTGAGGGGGTCTGAGCTAAGCAAGCTCATTCTCAACCTCCCACTCCAACAAAACAATTGGAAATGGGATTGTTTCTCTAAGTCCTTTTGGGCTCTCTCGCAAGTCTCCCTACACTACTACTCCAAGTGCTTTTCATCAAAGGCATCAAGAAGATCTTCATCTCCAAGGCTATTAAGGCTAGTTAAAGCTACTATTTTGTATTGGAATATTATAAAAGCCTTGTAACCGCCATTATAATAGCCCTGGGCATTACACCTCCCCTCCTTTCGTCGCGCCTCCCCCCGTCGCGCCGCCCCTCCCTTCGTCGCGCCTACTCTTCCCCTGCCCTTCTCTCACCTGCCCATCCCGTGCCTTCCCTTCTCTATCCTTCCATTCCCTCTTGTTACCTTCCCTTCCCATCCCTCCAAGGCTGAGAGCGGATGCAAACAAATCTCTCCCCACATCCCATTCCTCCCCACCTCCCTCTCCCACTCTCTTGCCTATCCCTGATTCCCCTCATTTCCCCCTGCTTCCCCTCATTTAACTCCCCTCCTTCCCCTCATATTCCCCTGCTTCCCCTCATTTCCCCCCCTGATTCTCCTCATTTCCCACCCTGATTCCTCTCATCCTCCCCCCTCTGCTTCCCCTGCTTCCCCTCAATTCCCCTATTCTTGCTCCCCCCTCTTCTCCCTTCCCCCTCTCCCATCGTCCCTGTCTCCCCTCTTCCCTCACCCCCCCCATCCCTCCCTCCCCTCTTCCAATCTCCTCGCTTCCCTCTCCCCCTCTTCCTGTCACCTCCTTTCCCTTCCCCCCTTCTTCCCTTTTCTTCCTCTCCCTCCACCCCCTCTTCCTCTCTCCCCTTTTCCCTCTCCCCCCTCTTCCTAATTCCTCCCTTCACTCTACCCGCTTTTCTTAATCTCCCCCTTTTCCCTTTCCCCCCACTTCATATCTCCTCTGTGTTGACTTCCTCTTGTTCTAGTGCCTCACATGACAGCCTATGCTTGATTGAACCATGGCCATATTCTTATCCCCCCTTCCCCCGCCCTCGCATTCTCTCCCTCTCTCTGGCTATATCAGCGACTAACTCTCTCTGGCCATATCAGCAACCACTCTGAGGTTTTTTCTTGCTTCAGCGCCAGCCAGTCGCATAAGCTTTCCCAGCCGTGCGCAACTGGTGCTCGCTCAATCGCACCAGGTGCAACCCCCGTGGCGACCCTGAGGCTTTCGGTCTCGTCGTGGCGACCTTGAGGCTTGCTCGCGGTGAGAACCTGACCTAGATGAGCGGCTTTGTCCGATCTCAGGGCTGCTGAATAGTAGCGGCCTCGTGTGTGAGCCGTACGGTACGCCAGCCTTATTTTTTGGCTGCTAATAGTGATCTACTAGGGCTGGCTGGCTGGGCCGGTCGCCCACTGTCATTCTTCCGGCCAGTCTTATTTGTTGGCGCGCCGTGGTGTCACCGTTAGCAGCTTGTGTGGGTCACAGTTTAGTGCGGCACTCCCACGTTCCCCGTTCCCGTATTCAACTGCTTCCGTTTTAGTACTTTCCATTACTCTCATCCTTCCGTCCCTCTCACCTCCATGCCTCTTTCCTCCTTCCTTCAACACATCTACTCTCTTCTTCATACACCCCTGGCCCTCCGCTCTCCTCCTCAGCAGCAGGATCCTCTTACCATGCTCCCAACCTTGATCCCACCCGCTTCAATCACTTCTCCCTCCCATACCTCATTCCACCAACCACATTCGCATCCTTCTTTCCACCCACTCGCTCTCCTATCCCTCTTCCTCCCAGAGCCAATCACAGCGTTGCGTGCGATCTGATCCGCCGCAGAGCACTCTCAAGTGCTCTGAGCACCCTGCACCGCTCTGAACCGCGCTCAACCCCATCCCGCCGGGCAGCGATGGCGTCTTCAGTGCTGAGCCTGCTCGATCGAAGCCCAGACGACCCCGTCGCCACTCAGCTCCTTGCCACTCTCGCGAGCAGTAGTAACGCCACCAGTAGCAGCGGCAGCACAGGCAGCAGCACAAGCAGCGGCAGTGGCAGCAGCACGGCGGGTGCAAGCAGCGGCAGCACAAGCAACAGCAGGGCCGGCAGCAGCAGCAGCAGCAGTGCAGGGGGTGCGAGCAGTCCCCTGGAGGCGGAGAGGAAGGTTTTTCCAGCGGTGAGGGGGCGAGCAGCGTGTGAGTATGTGAACTACAAGGCACTGGGGCTGTCGCTGTGTGTGGAGGACGGGAGGGTGGCAGCCGTGCACGTGTACAGTAACGTGCATGGTTACAAGCCGTTCGCTGGGTCGCTTCCGTTCGAACTTAAGTGAGTGTGTGTAGGAATCAAGCCACATGCATGCATTTTGCAAAGTGCTTGGAGGGTGGCCGCGGTGCATGTGTACAGTGGCGTGCATGGGTTCAAGCCGTTCGCTGGGACTCTTCCATTTGATCTCAAGTGAGTGTGTAGCTCTCAGCTAATGCTCATGTGATACGCGAAGAGCTGAGAGGAGAGCAGCCGTGCACATGTACAGGCAACGTGCATGGATACACGGTGTTCACTTGTACTCTTTCATTTGGTCTCAAGTGAGTACATGCTCTTGTGAGCGTTGTTTTAGAATGATAAAAAAGTCAAGCCACATGCATCATCATGCATGTGATACGCAAAGAGCTGGGAGGGTGGCAGCCGTGCACGTGTACAGTGACGTGCATGGGTACAAGGCGTTCGCTGGGGCCATCCTCTTCGGACTCAAGTGAGTGTGTGTAGGACTCATATGTGACGCTTGTGACTCGCAAAAGCTGGGGGGGTGGGTGGTTTGCGAGTGCGTGAAGCACACGGAATTGGGGCTATCACACACCCTCCCCACAATGATACCCTCAACACACGGCATTGGGGAAATGGTTGTGCGTTGAGGAGGGGAGGGTGCCTGCGGTCTATGGTAGAATGCTTCCATTCAGACTCAAGTGAGCGCATGTACAACTCAAGTGTCTGAAGTCACGCACTTACGAATCGTGAGAAATTGGGAAGGAGTGTGGCCGCCGTGCATGTGTACAGCACAGCGACGTTCATGGATACAAGGCGTGTTCTGGACCCCTTTTGTTCGAATCAAGTTTAGCACTCGCGAGATTGGCGTGTGACACGTGAAGAGGTGAGAGGAGAGACTTCGTGCATGGGTACAGTGACGTGCATGGGTACAGCGACGTGCATGGGTACAGCGACGTGCATGGGTACAGTGACGTGCATGGGTACAGTGACGTGCATGGGTACAGTGACGTGCATGGGTACAGCGACGTGCATGGGTACAGCGACGTGCATGGGTACAGCGACATGCATGGGTACGGGTACAGTGACGTGCATGGGTACAGTGACGTGCATGGGTACAGTGACGTGCATGGGTACAGTGACGTGCATGGGTACAGTGACGTGCATGGGTACAGTGACGTGCATGGGTACAGTGACGTGCATGGGTACAGCGACGTGCATGGGTACAGTGACGTGCATGGGTACAGCGACGTGCATGGGTACAGTGACGTGCATGGGTACAGTGACGTGCATGGGTACAGCGACGTGCATGGGTACAGTGACGTGCATGGGTACAGCGACGTGCATGTGTACAGCGACGTGCATGGGTACAGTGACGTGCATGGGTACAGTGACGTGCATGGGTACACTGACGTGCATGGGTACAGTGACGTGCATGGGTACAGCGACGTGCATGGGTACAGCGACGTGCATGGGTACAGCGACATGCATGGGTACGGGTACAGTGACGTGCATGGGTACAGTGACGTGCATGGGTACAGTGACGTGCATGGGTACAGTGACGTGCATGGGTACAGTGACGTGCATGGGTACAGTGACGTGCATGGGTACAGCGACGTGCATGGGTACAGTGACGTGCATGGGTACAGCGACGTGCATGGGTACAGTGACGTGCATGGGTACAGTGACGTGCATGGGTACAGCGACGTGCATGGGTACAGTGACGTGCATGGGTACAGTGACGTGCATGGGTACAGTGACGTGCATGGGTACAGCGACGTTCATGTGTACAGTGACGTGCATGGGTACAGCGACGTGCATGGGTACAGTGACGTGCATGGGTACAGTGACGTGCATGGGTACAGTGACGTGCATGGGTACAGTGACGTGCATGGGTACAGTGACGTGCATGGGTACAGCGACGTGCATGGGTACAGCGACGTGCATGGGTACAGTGACGTGCATGGGTACAGTGACGTGCATGGGTACAGTGACGTGCATGGGTACAGCGACGTGCATGGGTACAGCGACGTGCATGGGTACAGCGACATGCATGGGTACGGGTACAGTGACGTGCATGGGTACAGTGACGTGCATGGGTACAGTGACGTGCATGGGTACAGTGACGTGCATGGGTACAGTGACGTGCATGGGTACAGTGACGTGCATGGGTACAGTGACGTGCATGGGTACAGCGACGTGCATGGGTACAGTGACGTGCATGGGTACAGCGACGTGCATGGGTACAGTGACGTGCATGGGTACAGCGACGTGCATGTGTACAGCGACGTGCATGGGTACAGTGACGTGCATGGGTACAGTGACGTGCATGGGTACAGTGACGTGCATGGGTACAGCGACGTTCATGTGTACAGTGACGTGCATGGGTACAGCGACGTGCATGGGTACAGTGACGTGCATGGGTACAGTGACGTGCATGGGTACAGCGACGTGCATGTGTACAGCGACGTGCATGGGTACAGGGACGTGCATGGGTACAGTGACGTGCATGGGTACAGTGACGTGCATGGGTACAGTGACGTGCATGGGTACAGCGACGTGCATGGGTACAGCGACGTGCATGGGTACAGCGACATGCATGGGTACGGGTACAGTGACGTGCATGGGTACAGTGACGTGCATGGGTACAGTGACGTGCATGGGTACAGTGACGTGCATGGGTACAGTGACGTGCATGGGTACAGTGACGTGCATGGGTACAGCGACGTGCATGGGTACAGTGACGTGCATGGGTACAGCGACGTGCATGGGTACAGTGACGTGCATGGGTACAGCGACGTGCATGTGTACAGCGACGTGCATGGGTACAGTGACGTGCATGGGTACAGTAACGTGCATGGGTACAGTGACGTGCATGGGTACAGCGACGTTCATGTGTACAGTGACGTGCATGGGTACAGCGACGTGCATGGGTACAGCGACGTGCATGTGTACAGCGACGTGCATGTGTACAGTGACGTGCATGGGTACAGCGACGTGCATGTGTACAGCGACGTGCATGGGTACAGTGCCGTGCATGGGTACAGTGACGTGCATGTGTACAGCACAGCGACGTTCATGGATACAAGGTGTGTTCTGGACCACTTTTGTTCGAATCAAGTTTAGCACTCGCAAGATTGGCGTGTGACACGTGAAGAGGTGAGAGGAGAGACTTCGTGCATGTGTACAGCGACGTGCATGGGTACAGCGACGTGCATGGGTACAGCGACGTGCATGGGTACAGTGACGTGCATGGGTACAGTGACGTGCATGGGTACAGTGACGTGCATGGGTACAGCGACGTGCATGGGTACAGCGACGTGCATGGGTACAGCGACATGCATGGGTACGGGTACAGTGACGTGCATGGGTACAGTGACGTGCATGGGTACAGTGACGTGCATGGGTACAGTGACGTGCATGGGTACAGTGACGTGCATGGGTACAGTGACGTGCATGGGTACAGTGACGTGCATGGGTACAGCGACGTGCATGGGTACAGTGACGTGCATGGGTACAGTGACGTGCATGGGTACAGTGACGTGCATGGGTACAGCGACGTGCATGTGTACAGCGACGTGCATGGGTACAGTGACGTGCATGGGTACAGTGACGTGCATGGGTACAGTGACGTGCATGGGTACAGCGACGTTCATGTGTACAGTGACGTGCATGGGTACAGCGACGTGCATGGGTACAGTGACGTGCATGGGTACAGTGACGTGCATGGGTACAGCGACGTGCATGTGTACAGCGACGTGCATGGGTACAGTGACGTGCATGGGTACAGTGACGTGCATGGGTACAGTGACGTGCATGGGTACAGTGACGTGCATGGGTACAGCGACGTGCATGGGTACAGCGACGTGCATGGGTACAGCGACATGCATGGGTACGGGTACAGTGACGTGCATGGGTACAGTGACGTGCATGGGTACAGTGACGTGCATGGGTACAGTGACGTGCATGGGTACAGTGACGTGCATGGGTACAGTGACGTGCATGGGTACAGCGACGTGCATGGGTACAGTGACGTGCATGGGTACAGCGACGTGCATGGGTACAGTGACGTGCATGGGTACAGCGACGTGCATGTGTACAGCGACGTGCATGGGTACAGTGACGTGCATGGGTACAGTGACGTGCATGGGTACAGCGACGTTCATGTGTACAGTGACGTGCATGGGTACAGCGACGTGCATGGGTACAGCGACGTGCATGTGTACAGCGACGTGCATGTGTACAGTGACGTGCATGGGTACAGCGACGTGCATGTGTACAGCGACGTGCATGGGTACAGTGACGTGCATGGGTACAGTGACGTGCATGTGTACAGCACAGCGACGTTCATGGATACAAGGTGTGTTCTGGACCACTTTTGTTCGAATCAAGTTTAGCACTCGCGAGATTGGCGTGTGACACGTGAAGAGGTGAGAGGAGAGACTTCGTGCATGGGTACAGCGACGTGCATGGGTACAGCGACGTGCATGGGTACAGCGACGTGCATGGGTACAGCGACGTGCATGGGTACAGTGACGTGCATGTGTACAGTGACGTGCATGGGTACAGTGACGTGCATGGGTACAGTGACGTGCATGGGTACAGTGACGTGCATGGGTACAGTGACGTGCATGGGTACAGTGACGTGCATGGGTACAGTGACGTGCATGGGTACAGTGACGTGCATGGGTACAGTGTTGTCACCCATCCTCTTAAACCGTGTATGAAATCAAGGGAGAGGGTGGCAGCAGGAGCGGAGTTGGATGTGAAAGCAGGGAAGGGGGCCAGCCGCAGCGGGGTGCATACTAACGCTTATACCCACTCCTCATCTCGCACTTCTCCTCACCTCCCCACTCCTTCTATCTCGTAGAGTGAGCACGAAGGCCAGGGAGGGATGAAGGTGCTGAGAATCCGGGCGACAAAAAAACAGATGTAGGAAAAGCAGAAGAGGGGCCAACGCCTCGTGCCTTCTCCCCATCGACCAATTCTCACCTCCACTCCCCCTCTCCCCTCGCCCGTTCTTCCAGGGTGAAGATGAAAGTCAGGGAGGTGGTGGCAGCACTTAGGGAGCCGGGTGTGAAACCAAGGGGGAGCAGCACGGGGGGGTATCACAGTTATTCCTTCCTCCAATCTTCCACTCCGCGTCCACTCCACCGCCCTCCTCGTCTGTCAAAGTCAACATGAAGTCCTGGGGTGGTGGCGATGCTGGGAGGGTGAAGGGGGGCATAACCGGTCCAGCCTCCTCCCATTATCCACCCCGTCAACTTCTCATCTCCTCTCTCATCTCCCTCCCAGGATAAGCATAAAAGCCAGAGAGGTGGTGGCGGCGCTGGGGGAGTCGAGTTGAAAGCGGGACAACGGGCAGCAGCAGCGCAGCCCAACAACCATCACGATTCATGCCAAATCGTGCACTTCTCCTCTCCTCTCCTTTACCCTTCCCTCAGGGTGAGCATGAAGGCCAAGGAGGTGGTGGCGGAACTAGGGGAACCGGATGTGAAAGAAGGGGGGGGCAGCAGTGAACCCCGTGACAATCGTTGATTCGATTCATGTGCACATCATGTGACGAGTGCACACATCATCTCGTACTCGTCCTCTCATCCCTTTCATTCACTTCCCCTCCTCCCAGAATGGGCATGAAAGCGAAGCGAGGGACGTGGTGGTGGCACAGAGGGAGCAGGGCGTGAAAGCAGATGGAGGCAGTAGCGGGGACCATAGGAGCCCTCATATATACCTTCACACTTCTCTTTTCCTCCCCCATCCTCCTCCTCCCCACTCCTTCCCTCTCCCATCCTCCCAGAGTGAGCATGAAGGCCAAGGAGGTGGTGGCGGCACTAGGGGAACCAGACGTGAAAGCAGGGGGGGGCAGCAGTGGGGCGGTGACGGTGATATACTCGCAGCTGAAGCCGGCACTGCAGCGAGACATTGGGCTGCAGGTCACGTTTGTGGGGCGCAGCTGGGAGGATGCTGACAATGCTATAGACTGCATCACTCTGTATTTTGCAACGGACAAGTCGTGAATCATGACTTTTTTAATGCAGCAAAATGTAATGCAGTGTCACTGTACAGTGTTAACGACTTGTTACCGTAAGAGGTTTCGTAATTGAGAGGCTATAATTTGTAAACTTGGTGCCTAACTATGCGTAGTGTCGATGTGGTTTCAAGGGGCGACAAATTTCAGCCTCCACGAGTCGCCATGAATCTTCGCAACGAGTCGCGAAAGTTTCAGAGAACGTCAAGAACGCACGGTAGAAAATGGTGAAGAGGAGTTCAGGTTGTGTGCTCTACCCCAATGCACTCCTCACCCTCCCCGACACTGGACAGCAAGAACGTCGTAGAAAATAGCAGCGACAACCCCCGCCATTATTGGAGGTGAGATTGAACGTCCTCAGTCATATTTTCAGCCAAGTACAACATACACACACAAATCGTGAACTGGCTAGCGCGCCTCGCCGCGACGTCGCTCTATAGTAATGACGAGGCACCCGCGAATCTTCTCATCATGGGCATATCGTGGCCGAATCAGCGCGCGTCGTCGTCACATTCAGTATATAACATTACGTGGTCATTCTTACAAGGACGTGTCCTTTTCAATCAGAGCTACATATCAGCAACTACTAGTGTTAGCTGCCACTGACAAATCTTCTAGTCTCCCAGATAATAGCTGAATTCCATGGCAAAAATCCTCAAGCCCCTGCTGCTCGCCTTTTCGGTGATACTCGTCTGTCTTTCGATGTTTCTCCCCGCATTCGCCAGCCCGGTGCGCGTCGCTCGCACGCGACAGTCGCACGACGAGTACCTCCGTCAGCGACAGCTGAGCGACCGTGAGCGAAAACTGACCGACATCGTCAATCGCGGCTCTCGGCCTCCGCTGCACCTGGTCGAAACGAAAGCCAGCTTCGACAAGGAGCACCGCGAGGAGGAGCTCCGCAAACAGGGAGGCGCCGCGTCGGACGGGTCGTCCGCCACTCCCATCCAATACTGGGGCGGTCCCGTGCTGAGCGGAAACACGCTGAACGTGTACTTGATCTACTACGGCTTCTGGCCAAAGCAATCCGCGCAGACTGTGATTGAGAATTTCATTCGGTCGCTGAGTCTAAGAGGCGCCGATGCGCAGGGGGAAGCCGCGGATCCGAAAGTGAGCAGCTGGTGGGCGACCAGCTCGAAATACTACTCGCAGGCATCTGATGGGTCCGCGCCCACTGTCAGCACGGAGGTACGTCGTTTCCTCTTTTGCATTGAGATGTTGAATCCTGGGGCATGAGTGAAAAGGTACTTCCAGGACGACCAGCGTGGCGTGGCATCCGCAATCAGTAGCTCGGATGCAGTTTTTATGTTCCAGGTTACGAATGACGATTTTGGTGAAAAAGAAAATCAAAGGCGAACCTGAACGCGTACTGCCGGATACAAGTGTATTTAGAGTTTCAGACGAGAATTCCAAGGAATTACATCCAAAATCTATTCCCTTCCTTTCTCAGGTGAAGCTCGCGAAGGTCATCTACGACAAAGGGTCGCAAGGGAAGAAATTCAACGCCAACACTCCCTGGAAAGGTGCGCTTGCGTTCCACCGTAGTTGACTTCCTTTCGCTAGTACCTATCTCCCGTTCGTTTACCGACAAACCGTCATACCACTTACCTCCTTCCGCAATCATTTGTTGCCTACCCAGAATCGTACTAATGTCCTAACCCCCTTCAAATCGCAGTTGTGAAGAGCAAGATTGGCTCGGGAAAGCCGTTCCCGTACGACGCCAATGGCATCTACCTGCTTCTCACCAGCACCAACATAAAGGTCTCTGGCTTCTGCACAGAGTACTGCGGGTATCACACGATGGATCGCCTCGGCTCCAAGTCTGTCGCGTATTCCCTCGTGGGTCATCACGGATTGTGCCCCGGAAACTGCGGTGCGAAGCAGACTTCGCCCAACGGGAAGCCGTGGCTGGACGCGATGGTTTCGACGATCGCTCACGAGATCGCGGAGGCCGCGACGGATCCCAATGCCCGCAGCGGCTGGTTCGATGCCAACGGGGAGGAGAACGCTGATAAGTGCAGCTACGAGTACGGAGAGACGCAAACAGCTCAGAATGTGTATGGTGACGATGCGGAGTACAACCTGGTGGGGCTCAACGGTATGAAGTTCATGGTGCAGCAGAACTGGGACGTGGCCACGGACTCGTGCGTATCGCAGACGACCGAATAGGAGACGCGATGACGGATTGTGGAGCTTTTGCAAGGGAGACGAGAAGAACTGCGCACTTGGGAGGAAGGGACCTGTCGGGAGGTAGAGCTGCAGCTTTCTCTTTGCTGGAGCGCCTAGGCCATGCTTTTGCTTTGAAACACAAGCCGCGCCAATGAATAAGGGCGGTAGTGCATGACGAAAGGCCCAATAAGCGCCTGAAGGTTTGGGAACAGTAGTCAAGAATGAAAGTTTGCTTTTGTTTATGATGACAAATAAATGTTTGATTCCTGTTCAAGCAAACAGGTTTCCAGGGGGTGTGGTGGGTGAATGGGAAATGTGGGTTGAGGATAGGAGCGAGAGAAGTGAGAAGACTGGTGGGGAGGACATATACAACAGGGGTGGAAACATATACATCATCCCATCCCACCATCTCTGCTCCTCTTCCCATCCCACCATCTCTTCTCATCATCCCATCCCACCATCTCTGCTCCTCATCCCATCCCACCATCTCTCCTCATCATCCCATCCCACCATCTCCGCTCCTCATCCCATCCCACCATTTCTGCTCCTCATCCCATCCCACCATCTCTGCTCCTCATCCCATCCCACCATCTCTGCTCATCATCCCATCCAACAGGGGTGTAAACAGAAATATTTTGATATATTTACAATATCAAGAATGTAAGCGTTGGAAACAATTCACCTCATCTCATCCCACCATCTCTGCTCCTCATCCCATCCCACCATCTCTGCTCATCATCCCATCCAACAGGGGTGTAAACAGAAATATTTTGATATATTTACAATATCAAGAATGTAAGCGTTGGAAACAATTCACCTCATCCCATCCCACCATCTCTACTCATCATCCCATCCCACCATCTCTCCTCATCATCCCATCCCACCATCTCTGCTCATCATCCCATCCCACCATCTCTCCTCATCATCCCATCCCACCATCTCTCCTCATCATCCCATCCCACCATCTCTGCTCCTCATCCCATCCCACCATCTCTGCTCATCATCCCATCCAACAGGGGTGTAAACATAAATATTTTGATATATTTACAATATCAAGAATGTAAGCGTTGGAAACTATTCAACTCATCCCATCCCACCATCTCTACTCATCATCCCATCCCACCATCTCTTCTCATCATCCCATCCCACCATCTCTGCTCCTCATCCCATCCCACCATCTCTGCTCCTCATCCCATCCCACCATCACTGCTCCTCATCCCATCCCACCATCTCTAGTTCTCATCCCATCCCACCAGCTCTCCTCATCATCCCATCCCACCATCTCAGCTCATCATCCCATCCCACCAACTCTGTTCATCATCCCATCCTACCATCTCTACTCATCATCCCATCCCACCATCTCTCCTCATCATCCCATCCCACCATCTCTGCTCATCATCCCATCCCACCATCTCTGCTCCTCATCTCATCCCACCATCTCTAGTTCTCATCCCATCCCACCATCTCTCCTCCTCATCCCATCCCACCATCTCTGCTCCTCATCCCATCCCACCATCTCTGCTCATCATCCCATCCAACAGGGGTGTAAACAGAAATATTTTGATATATTTACAATATCAAGAATGTAAGCGTTGGAAACAATTCACCTCATCCCATCCCACCATCTCTACTCATCATCCCATCCCACCATCTCTTCTCATCATCCCATCCCATCATCTCTGCTCATCATCCCATCCCACCATCTCTGCTCCTCATCCCATCCCACCATCTCTGCTCCTCATCCCATCCCACCATCTCTGCTCCTCATCTCATCCCACCATCTCTAGTTCTCATCCCATCCCACCAGCTCTCCTCATCATCCCATCCCACCATCTCAGCTCATCATCCCATCCCACCAACTCTGTTCATCATCCCATCCTACCATCTCTGCTCCTCATCCCATCCCACCATCTCTACTCATCATCCCATCCCATCATCTCTGCTCATCATCCCATCCCACCATCTCTGCTCCTCATCCCATCCCACCATCTCTGCTCCTCATCCCATCCCACCATCTCTGCTCCTCATCTCATCCCACCATCTCTAGTTCTCATCCCATCCCACCAGCTCTCCTCATCATCCCATCCCACCATCTCAGCTCATCATCCCATCCCACCAACTCTGTTCATCATCCCATCCTACCATCTCTGCTCCTCATCCCATCCCACCATCTCTCCTCATCATCCCATCCCACCATCTCTGCTCATCATCCCATCCAACAGGGGTGTAAACAGAAATAATTTGATATATTTACAATATCAAGAATGTAAGCGTTGGAAACAATTCACCTCATCCCATCCCACCATCTCTACTCATCATCCCATCCCACCATCTCTTCTCATCATCCCATCCCATCATCTCTGCTCCTCATCCCACCATCTCTAGTTCTCATCCCATCCCACCAGCTCTCCCCATCATCCCATCCCACCATCTCAGCTCATCATCCCATCCCACCAACTCTGTTCATCATCCCATCCTACCATCTCTACTCATCATCCCATCCCACCATCTCTCCTCATCATCCCATCCCACCATCTCTGCTCATCATCCCATCCCACCATCTCTGCTCCTCATCTCATCCCACCATCTCTAGTTCTCATCCCATCCCACCAGCTCTCCTCATCATCCCATCCCACCATCTCAGCTCATCATCCCATCCCACCAACTCTGTTCATCATCCCATCCCACCATCTCTCCTCATCATCCCATCCCACCATCTCTGCTCATCATCCCATCCCACCATCTCTCCTCATCATCCCATCCCACCATCTCTCCTCATCATCCCATCCCACCATCTCTGCTCATCATCCCATCCCACCATCTCTCCTCATCATCCCATCCCACCATCTCTCCTCATCATCCCATCCCACCATCTCTGCTCCTCATCCCATCCCACCATCTCTCCTCATCATCCCATCCCACCATCTCTGCTTATCATCCCATCCAACAGGGGTGTAAACAGAAATATTTTGATATATTTACAATATCAAGAATGTAAGCGTTGGAAACAATTCACCTCATCCCATCCCACCATCTCTACTCATCATCCCATCCCACCATCTCTTCTCATCATCCCATCCCATCATCTCTGCTCATCATCCCATCCCACCATCTCTGCTCCTCATCCCATCCCACCATCTCTGCTCCTCATCCCATCCCACCATCTCTGCTCCTCATCCCATCCCACCATCTCTGCTCCTCATCCCATCCCACCATCTCTGCTCATCATCCCATCCCACCATCTCTTCTCATCATCCCATCCCATCATCTCTGCTCATCATCCCATCCCATCATCTCTGCTCCTCATCCCATCCCACCATCTCTACTCATCATCCCATCCCACCATCTCTTCTCATCATCCCATCCCATCATCTCTGCTCCTCATCCCATCCCACCATCTCTGCTCCTCATCCCATCCCACCATCTCTGCTCCTCATCCCATCCCACCATCTCTGCTCCTCATCCCATCCCACCATCTCTGCTCCTCATCCCATCCCACCATCTCTGCTCCTCATCCCATCCCACCATCTCTGCTCCTCATCCCATCCCACCATCTCTGCTCCTCATCCCATTTCACCATCTCTGCTCCTCATCCCATCCCACCATCTCTTCTCATCATCCCATCCCATCATCTCTGCTCCTCATCCCATCCCACCATCTCTGCTCCTCATCCCATCCCACCATCTCTGCTCCTCATCCCATCCCACCATCTCTGCTCCTCATCCCATCCCACCGTCTCTCCTCATCATCCCATCCCACCATCTCTGCTCCTCATCCCATCCCACCATCTCTGCTCCTCATCCCATCCCACCATCTCTGCTCCTCATCCCATCTCACCATCTCTGCTCCTCATCCCATCCCACCATCTCTGCTCCTCATCCCATCCCACCGTCTCTGCTCCTCATCCCATCCCACCGTCTCTGCTCCTCATCCCATCCCACCATCTCTGCTCCTCATCCCATCCCACCATCTCTGCTCCTCATCCCATCCCACCATCTCTGCTCCTCATCCCATCCCACCATCTCTGCTCCTCATCCCATCCCACCGTCTCTGCTCCTCATCCCATCCCACCGTCTCTGCTCCTCATCCCATCCCACCGTCTCTGCTCCTCATCCCATCCCACCGTCTCTGCTCCTCATCCCATCCCACCATCTCTGCTCCTCATCCCATCCCACCATCTCTGCTCCTCATCCCATCCCACCATCTCTGCTCCTCATCCCATCCCACCATCTCTGCTCCTCATCCCATCCCACCATCTCTGCTCCTCATCCCATCCCACCATCTCTGCTCCTCATCCCATCCCACCATCTCTGCTCCTCATCCCATCCCACCGTCTCTGCTCCTCATCCCATCCCACCGTCTCTGCTCCTCATCCCATCCCACCATCTCTGCTCCTCATCCCATCCCACCATCTCTGCTCCTCATCCCATCCCACCATCTCTGCTCCTCATCCCATCCCACCATCTCTGCTCCTCATCCCATCCCACCATCTCTGCTCCTCATCCCATCCCACCATCTCTGCTCCTCATCCCATCCCACCATCTCTGCTCCTCATCCCATCCCACCATCTCTGCTCCTCATCCCATCCCACCATCTCTGCTCCTCATCCCATCCCACCATCTCTGCTCCTCATCCCATCCCATCATCTCTGCTCCTCATCCCATCCCACCATCTCTGCTCCTCATCCCATCCCACCATCTCTCCTCATTATCCCATCCCACCGTCTTTCCTCATCATCCCATCCCACCATCTCTGCTCCTCATCCCTTCCCACCATCTCTGCTCCTCATCCCATCCCACCATCTCTGCTCCTCATCTCATCCCACCATCTCTGTTTTTTATGATGGCAAATAAATAGTTGGTCCTTACATGTTTCCAGCAAGCTACAATCAGGTGATTCTCCTCCCTGGACCCCTGTACATTTACTCCCTTCCTACATCATGTAAGCCTGCTGGTACGACAACCACTGCTTCAGCAACTTAGAAATCTAACAACCGCCACCTCATCGGGCCCCTCACCCCCTAAACACCCAGGAGCAGCATCGACTTCACATAACCTTCAACACCAACCACTTCACGCCTGGTTTTATCATGATTGAATGCGCTTCATCTAGCACCATGTTCCGGCCATCACAACCTGAGCCTGCAGGCCGCGCTGCCTGAGCATGCCAGCGAGCGTGTTAAACACGGTCTGGCCAATCTTCTTGATCACGGCCGTCACAAACGTGTTGAGCGACCGCACATCCTTCACCCCGCTCACCCCCACGCCCAACGCCGAGTTGTAAAACTGAACGGCCGAGTCGGTGGGCGCAGCCTTGCACTTGATCCAGTCCAGCAGGTAGGTCTTGACGCAGGAGGGGTTGCGGCGGTTGTTGGCCGCCATGAGCACGTAGTCCTGGAAGGAGGTGCTGGCGCCGGCCGTGCCGGGGCCCCACACGGCCAGCACGCTGCTGCGCACGCCGCTGGACGCCTGCACGCTGTTCCACAGCGCCTGCGAGCTGCAGTCGTCCTTGATCCACCACGCGTACCACCTGCAGAGGTAGCAGACGAGGGGGACGGGGAGGGGTGAAGGGAACGGGAGGGAGAGGAGGGCACGGGTAAGTTTGATGGGGGAACATGAGTGAATGCACGCGTTGATGGGTCGGGAAGCTGCAGCCGACCTTGATCCAACACGCGAACCACATACATGCGCAGCAGTAGGGCTTGCAGCATCGCGCACAGAAAGTAAACGCAAAATCGCAGCCTACCGGCCAAACCAGCAAAAACTTGGTGAATGCGAGTATTTAATTTTCGGAAAGGGAGGGGAGGGGAGGGGAGGGGAAGGGGGAGGGGGGGGAATGCGGAAAGGGGAGCATGAGACACTGGACGCATTGAGGGGTCAGTAAGCTGCAGTCGATCTTGATCCACTATGCTTAACACACCTGCAGGAAAACAGAATTAGCACATTACGTACCAGGAACAGAGTCACGCACTTGGATTGCGTAATTCCGTCTGTCACGCACAAGTTTGGCGAATAATTTTCTTACCCAGATCGGGAGGCTCACCTGCTGGCGTAGCATGGAGGGGCCACCGTCTCGCAGTCGGCGCACGAGCACGTCTGCGCGAGGATCGCGGAGGCCTGAAGCGCGACGACGACGGCGAAGAGAAGCTTAGCAGGAGCCATTGTTGAGAGCGGCACGGGTCGATGAGGACAGGGAGGAATTAGGGGAACCGGAAATATCGTTCAGGACTGCTAGAGCCTAGCTTTGCAGCGGAAAACCGGAGATAGCGGGACAAGTAGTAGAGCGAATAGCTTGCGATGGTTGTATCTGACTTGGTTTGGCTCTTATACCCGCATTACTACTACTCCTACGCCTGGCTGCCATCGGAAAATAAGCGGCTCGGAGCACAGTGGATAGGATGTTACTATCCAGCCTTAGCTCGCCTAGTAGACTCGGATGACTCATCCTACGCCTTGCTGTACGGAATCTTAGCACTATCATGTGCTGCGCTGTACTCGCTAATGCTGCGTTGTCTTGAGATATTCAGAGAGAAATCGGAGCGGACCTTCCGTGCGGAACCTGTATTGCTAGCCGTCAGAGTCAAGACGGCGTACGGCGAGCACCACCGATTCTTAGCTGGCATTTCCCACCAGGTTGACTCGGCAAGGATGACAGCAACGCCGTGGCGTGTGATTCAGACTTCGTGGAATGACTTATTACATAAGGCGAATCGATGTGTGAGATAGGAGAAGCTGGATAAGAGAGGAGAGGAGAGTCGGCGTGAGGAGAATGGAAGGAACAGGAGCGGATGAGACGTGCCCAGTTCAACGGCTAGCTGGGTTTGGCCGGTCCCGCCGAGTCGTCCACCGAGGGTCAAAGGGGTAAACAGAAATCCAGGTAGCTGACTCAGCCCACGAAACGCGGGACAGCTGTATGAGGTGGGGTGGAATGGAAGGCACCGAAACGTGATTTGCGGAAACAGTTGTGAGGACATTACGATAGTAAACAAAAAGATGCTAGATGTACACCTGCTCGGGTGCAAAATGGAAATCGAACATGTTAAGAAAAACGTTTCTATACCAGTTTACCATATAAATAGATGTTGGGTGAAAACAGGGATATTGTGATATTTGTACACACGTAAACTGACAAGACAGTGCCATACACATGTTGACATGTGCATGGCTGATTGCGGACTACGCAAACCAATCGGATAGGTCCACAACCAATTCGCTCCTCCAAACCCTGCTGTTATGAGTGCTGCGAGCAGCTCCTGTGCCGCAATCAGTTTCCTCACTTCCCCATCCCTCTGCCTCCAAGCACAAACGCTTCAATTCAACGCCCAAGTCAGCAGTTGGGGCATGAGAGAGAACACAGGGGAGAGAAGTAGGGAGATGAGAAAGAACGTAGATGTAGGAGAAAGGGCATGCCTATCGGCGACGCAGAAAGGGAGACGCACAATTGGGCAGGAAGCGGAAGGATAAATGGGGGCTTGCGAGAGGAAATGCAGGAAGGAGAGAGGAAGCGGGAGACAGGAGAGGAACGGATTGAGCCACAGATAAAAAAAAATATCAAGTATTGCTCACAGCAAGGAACCGGACCAACCAGGTAAGCCATGGCATGGTTAGACATGATTCTGTTAAGCGATTTGTTTTGAGACGTTTCAAAACAATGTGCCTGATTACAAAGTGACCTTTACGTCGAGCTCACCTGCTTGCAAACCAGCACTTAATCTGAACAGGATAGCGCTTTTGGCAGAGGCAGTACGAGAGTTCACGATTGTTGTGATATCAACAAAAGGCTAATCCCCACACACCCCTCCATCTTTGTAAAGGCTTACTGCTTTTTCTCGCTGAGAAAGGGAGAGTGGGAGGGAGAGGACAGGGAAAACCAAGGGGCAAAAGAAGGGGAGGGGAAGTGGAGGAGGAAGGGGAGGGGCCGCAGAGGGTAGTGGTGATGTATAGGTAATGGAGCATGGACTGATGGCTTCAACATGCTGTAGCATGATGTAATGAAGCAACGAGCTGCCATTGTGGCTAGAGTGCTTACTGGTGAAGCGTGGAATGGAAGTGACATGCGTACAGACACACACGCAATCGAGCATACAGAGGTGACATGCATGCTTCCGCAGCGTGGCGTGGCACATCTACTTGGGGATTGCATTGCATACCAGGCAGTACATGGTTAATAAAGTTCTTGATGGGTCTTCATTCGGACATAGAGTTCACTTGGCATGACACGAATTTGGTTTGGCATGGCACAACACAAACCTTAAAATCACAAAACCCATTCCACTGTGGCTGAAAGGATCATTATGACTGAATGCTGACCTGAGTGATTACTGACCAGAATACAGACCTGAATACTTGGCTAGAATATCTGACTTGACTGCCGGCTTGAAGGAATCCTGACCTGAATCCGGACCTTTTTAGTGACCTGAATACTGATTGGATATTCACTTGAACAGCTCCCACCTGGGTCACGGAAACTGGTTCGGAGTTGTACAAATCAGGCCTGAAGGGAATCACGAATGGGCACAAGAATCAGTCCCAGCTCAAATCGCACCCACCCGCCCCCCATGTTCAAGTCTCAACCTCACGTCAGGAGCAGCCACATGGCTCGACTGATAGCGGGGTGACTTTTGCTTTGTAGACTCAAAAGTCACCGATGCCCACCTGATCTGGTAGCCATGCTGCAAAGTGTTAAAAGAAATCAGAGGGTTCACCAGGGGGAAGGGACGCGAGAGGGGGAGGGGGAGGGGGTAGGGAGAGGTTGAGTGGTGTGGTAAGGAAAACGGGGTATGGGGGGTGATGGTTCTGATTTAAATTTCCGAGATGCAATCCCATACTGTTCCAGTGCTTGCTGGTGATGCTTGGAATGGAAGCCCACGGTGCCCAAGGAGAAGCGCATGAGCAACACATTCATCCCAAGCAGCACATTCATCCCAAGCAGCACATTCATCCCAAGCAGCACATTCATCCCAAGCAGCATATTCATGCCTAGCAGCCCATTCATGTATATTCGTGCCTACTGCAGCATGAAAAACCATGCATATGAACAATGTGAGACGTACTCATGCAGAACACCCTTAAAGTGTCTTATGCAACATAAACAAACCACGCATACAAACAATGTGACAAATACTCATGCAGAACACCCCTTCACTGCCTTGTGCAATATGAATAACCATGCATACAAACAGTGTGCCAAATACTAATGCAGAACACCCCTTCACTGACTTGTGCAATATGAATAACCATGCCAAGTACTCATGCAGAACACTTCTTAAGTGCCTTCTGCAGCATAAATAACCATGCATACAAACAAACATTCTGACACTTAGTCATGCAGAACACCACAAATGCCGTTCTAACATACAAACAATGTTAGACGTACTAGTCCCTCAACTACCCCATAGAACAGATCAAGCTCCTTGGTCTTGCAACTTGTGTCTAAATTTTGTGATATATACACATGAAGAAATCACAATCCGCCTACCGTAATCCCCCGTATATAAGACCCCCCCCCAGTTGAAGACCCCCGGGTCTATAATACAGACCCGGGTACTCTATTCGAGTCTAGTTGAGTTATACCCCCCTAAATGGTTCGTAACATTATAAGACCCCCCCACATCCTAGAGAAGTGCGGATTTTACAAAATAAGCAATTGACAATGGTCATATTCCATGTTGATTAAGAATAATCGCACCCATGAACGCACATGCACACCCACAACCCCATCATATCGCCCATCCTAATCCTGTCCCACAACCCAAGTCTCCACCTCCTCCCCATCATATCGCCCTTCTGCCCACCACTCATCGCCATCATCCTCCCATCCCGCTCCACCCTCCACCTCCGCACCGCCTTCCTCCTCGCCCTCCTCATCCTCATCCTCGTCCTCCTCCTCCTCCGTGTCCCCCTCCTCCTCCTCCTCCTCCTCCTCCTCCTCCTCCTCCTCCTCCTCCTCCTCCTCCTCCTCCTCCTCCTCCTCCTCCTCCTCAGGTGGAGAGGAGGCTGCATCGCTGTTCTTGCTCGAAGGGGCGGCAGGATCAGGGTAGAAAGGGTTGGGGACGAGCTCGTCGAGCTCCTCCTCGCACACATCCTCCAGCACCTCCACCTCCGCCTTATCGCGGAGGTGAGCGAGGATCAGATGATCCTCGCTCCCGTCGACGGCGGTGGAGATGCCGCAGGTCACGAAGGATTTCATGATCAGTTCTTCAGGCACGTCAGCCCATGCCTCCGCAATCCAGCAGAGAACCTTCTCTGGGGGAGGTTTCTTAAGATTCCCTGCGGGAAATGTCACGGGTAGGGGCAGACGTGAGTAACCACACGGTCAAGGCACACATTGAAACAGGTACAACTCTCATGCTCACCTGCAGGGGTGAAAGAATCAATCCCCTCATCCTGGAACCACGTGGAGTAGCGGTGGCGAACCCCGGCTTTGAAGCTGCGATTCACCGAAACGTCCAGGGGTTGCACCAGCGAGGTGCAACCGCCAGGGATCACCGCGCGCGTGAGCTTGAACAGCTTCATCGTCTGGCCGACTGCTTCCGTGGTATGCCCTCGGTATGAGTCGAAGATGAGGAGCGCTTCCTTGCGCTCCCCTTCCTTTTCGCGGTGCGGCTTCAGGAAGGGGACGAGAACCTTCGTTGTCCAGTCTTGGACAAGGTTCTCGTCCATCCAGCCCTTTTCCTGGGCTCGCACGACAATGCCTGCACAACAAAAAAGAAACGTGAGCGGTTTTTTTCCTTCACCACATCGCGGCCGAACATTCGGTAAGGCACAACTCACCACGGGGTATGGGGATCTTCGGCAAGGTCTTCCGCTTGAAGACTACATACGGAGGGAGCTTCAAGCCGCCCGCGGTCACCGCCAGCATGACCGTGACACGCTGCTTCTCGTACCCCGCGGTGCGCACGTGGACGGTCCGAGCGCCTTTCATCTCGAGAGTGCGCTCGGCAGGCATCTCAAGGAACAGGGGTGTCTGATCCGCGTTCACGATCAGGTTGAGGGGGTAGGAGTTGAGCACGCGCATCTGCCTCACGAATTCCCAGAAGGCCTCGCACTTCTCCTTGCAATCTGCATCGCATGGGATAAGGGGGAGTCAGGGCACCACAATAGGTACGACTTGACATCTGGAAATATCGGGTAGGGCAAGGTCAAGGTACCTGCAGCGAGCTTCTGTCCAATCTTTGTCTTCACGCGCCGCGCCAGGGACCACCTCCTGCGGAACCTCTTTGTCCAGCGGCTGGACGAAGACCACTTCTTCTGGGGGTGGCGATTTTTCATGTAGGTCGCCGCCCAACTCTGCAGCAGACCTACGGAAATCGGCAGGCCTCTCCCACGGTGCAACAGGAACCTGCGGTAGACCGCAACCTCCATATCGGGGTACTTAGGCTTTCGTCCCGCACCAGTGAGACGTTGGCGACACCCTGCCGCTTTGTCGAGCCGCTCCTTCATGCTTCGCCACTCGCGGATCTGCTTCGGCTGGACGTCGGCGAGCCTGGCCAAACCCCGGACGCTCATAGGGGGCTGCGCGTCAAGCATCTTGAGCCAGTAAAGCTTCTCCTTGACAGTGTAAGCTTTCCGCTTCTTCTGCGTTTGTCGGCGCCTTGTCTCCGGCGTCTCTGCGTCGCGCACACGCTTCTTTTGTCCCCGCGGTCGGCTTGATACAGGAAACACGGGAACCTTCACCTGCGGAAGCGGACCGCGTGGGCTCCCGCTGGGCTCCTTATCTGTCGCCTCGCTGCTAGAGGCACTTGGCGTAGGCATGACGGGCCTTGGCGACGGCCTAGGAACAGGAGGGTTCGGCACATTCTTGCGGCGCTTGCGTCGAGCACCGGACGTCCCAGTATCTGGTGAGGTCGCCATGGCGGCTCAGTTGGAGATAAATGGCTGCTAGCTTCGAGGCGAAATGGAACAGGCAGCCATCTTCTATGCGGCAGCCAGCCGAGCACAGTACGGGGAAAGAAACAGGAGGGTGATGTGAAGTCAGCCCGATGAACAATGACGTGCCAGAATACAGCAGGGGTGTCTGGAAGATCCCGCCCTTTCCAGGACTGTGCAGCCCGCACGAAGCGTGCATGGGGTGTGATGGCCGAGGCCATCAAACGGTGCCCTGCGCTGTTGTGTGAACACCAAGTGGTGTTGGTGGCCAATGACGTGGGTTTGGCCCGTGTGGAGACGAATTCGAGTATTTTTGGCTGGAACTAAAAACGGAGCAATTCCAAATCACTTCTTTGTGCTCCAAAACTACATTCTTACAAATGTCAATATGAACATACCCGGGTCTTCTAAAAAATATACCATTTAATTCTACCCCCCAGCCATTTTAGGGGTGATTATCATAATACCCTAGGGTCTTATATACGGGGGATTACGGTAATTTACATGGATATGGCTGGCTGGCTTAGTTGTGAGGTGACTTTTGGTCAACTCAAAGGTCACCAAGGCTTACCTCATATTGGCACAGCATTTTGATGGAAGTGGAACGCGACGAAGTGTCAGGAGCAGTCAGAGAGTTCACTACAGGTCGCATTCAACGAAAGGTGGACCGTGCATTGCCTCACTGAGGGAGGGTGAGGGGCAGGGAGGTTGAGTGGTGAGGAGGCATGGGAAGGAGAGGGTAGAGAGAAAATAGGGAGAGGGTGCGTGGTGAGGTACGGGAAACGGGCCACGGGGTAATGGTTCTGATGTGATCCTGCAATTGCGATCACAGAACAACATACATCTCACTGGGAACGTACAAGGAAATGTCTTATTGGTGATGAAACACAATGTCAAGTGAAGAAGATTCATGACTACTACCATATCCACATGGTTAGATTTGACTTGTCATAAGAGCGTGACCCGCTTCACCATGCATGCATGCAACATCGAGGGATTACATTACATGGATATGGACTAGACACAAATGGCCGTACTAGAACAGAGCAGACTCAACCCAATAATCGACACAAGCTGCAGCATCAAGAGCCCGTAAAGCAAGTCGAAGCTCCTTGATTCATCAACTTACACTATGTGCCTTCACTTTATGACAATTCAAGTCAATGATACTATGTGTCAATGATACTTTGTTTCCTTACGATCATATTTACATGGGCCTACCACCAGCAACACATTTAATCCTACAAATTAACTATATCATACAAGGTAACACTTTCTAATGAACTAGTCAGTAGCAAGTCATATTTGTCACCTCCACCTGGGTTGCTGGAACTGCTGTTTCTGCGAGGCTGCTGTTGCAGTCTGGCCTCACAGCTCACTGTTGCTCCCTGCTGCTGCCTGCACTCCCTTCTTCCCCTCCCCCCTCACAGCCGAAATTGAACCTTTTCTCAATCTGCTCGTGGCAGCAGCAGCCCCACCAGAGGCAGCAGGACTAGCGCGGTTTGCCTTCGGTACTGAGAGCTTGCTTGTTGACTGTTTGACTGTCACTTCCACCACCTTACCTTTGCATCCCAATCTTTTCTCTGCAGCAACAACCTTGCTTGCCACTCCCTTCCCGGTACCTCTCCCTGCTGCACCACAGGCTGCTGCCTTCACAGGTGGCTTCACTACTGCTTGTGTGACTAACTTCGCTGCCGCTTTCACCGCTGGTCGTCCTGCTGGCGAAGCTGCTGCGCGTGCTGATGGCTTGCACGCAGCAGGCTTTACCACAGCCGTTACTTTAGCTGCTGAAGGGGCTGCTGCCTTCGCCACGGACCAAGCTGCTGATGGTGCTGCTGATGGCGCTGATTTAGCTGCTGATGGTGCTGATTTCTCTGCTAATCGTGCTGATGGCTTGCACGCAGCAACAGCTGATGATTTAGCTGCTGACGGTGCTGCTGGCTTCGCCACTGACCGAGCTGGTTTCGCTGTTGATCGTGCTGATGGCTTGCAAAGCTCTTTTTTAGGTGAAGCAACACCAGGCATAGCAGCAGAAGCAGCAGAAACGGCGCCAGAAACGGCGTCAGCAATGGCATCCGCAGCAGCAGCAGCCACCACAGGCACAGCAGCAGCAACAGCAGCACCAAGAGCGTCAGCAGCAGCACTTGCAGCAGCAGCCAGCGTGCTCACAGCAGAGGCAACAGCGGTAGCGAAGGCGGGCCTCAAGGGCGAGAAGCCCAGCCTCACTCCAAAGCGGTTTTCCCGGCGCTTCTTGTTCTCCTCAACAACAAACCGACCTATCTTGATAGCCACCTCCGCGGAGGTCATCGCTTTGCATTCCACACGTCTCCTCATCACCTGATTTCTCAAATACGCCTCGTCCGCTTCCGTCCATTCAGTGACAAATTCGGCCGTGTTAAACGAATCATACTGCGCCACCCACTTGGCAATGATCCACCCATCGCGCGGTTTCAATGATCCGCTTCTCAGGTATTTTTCGTCCTCATCCGTCCAGTTTGTAATGAAATCGGCAGAGTTCACCGAGTTTCCCGCCAGGAGCAGCAGTTCCTCGCTCACAGTTAGTGTGGTACGACGAATTGTGACAGGCGCTCTCAGATAAGCCTCGTCCTCAGCAGTCCACTCTGTAATGAAATCGGAGGAGCTTACTGTAAGATTAGCTAAGAGCAGAAGCTCCTCGCTCACGCTGAGTTCAGCCGGTGCTGCTCTCAGCTGAGCTTCATCAGCCTCCGTCCATTCGTAGAGGCAGTCAAACGGGAGCGAGTTGAGTGCAGAGCAGTTGAGCCAGCTCGGTACCTCCCACAGGTACCTCGCTGCGTTTCCGAATGCCGTGGCAGCAGCAAGGGCAACGGCAAGAGCCGTTTCAGGCTTGACCGAGTCCATTCGAGCAACGAGGGTTCTCAGACGCACGAGGGGAAAGTCTCTGCGAGTGACTGAAAGAGCGTGTGAAGCAAACAAGTTGTGATTGAAGAGAAATGGTCGTCAAGTGACCATTTCTACAGACACCCCGCAAAGGTTTCCCCCGTTAACGAAGGAGCCCGTCGTTCGAGGTTTGGTTCGGCACCCTTGGGGTGCAGCTTCGGCATTACACCCGTTTACTGCGCTCCGAGGCATATGCGAGGCTGCCAGTGGGTGGTCCACATTGCTGCTCGCCTGACTGTACCGCCAGCTCACACGAAATCGGACGGTTAAAGTGCTTCGATAACGTATCTGCGGCAAAAATTTGCCCTCGAAATAATTATTTTGCAGCATGCTCACGTGGATGACAAAACAGCGGCTAGATAAGCTCAAATCGGGCGGCTAAAAACGCTTCGTGAATGTCGGGACCCCAGCTACGGCCAGGTTTGGCACCGACTTCCGCAACGCGTGGACGTGATGGAAGCGGCCGACACTCATTCTTGGTGGAACTAGCCCAGCATGACGTGTTTCACGCGTGGATCTGTGCGCGGCGTGGCGGTGTGGGGTCTTACCTGGTGGGATCATGATTAGGGAAGCGCATTTACTCCACGTGGCATAGGCAGAACTTAGCTGCGAAGCTGCTGTCAACTCGTGAACGGGTACGACAGGGGCGGCCGTAAAAGGTATCACATTTTCTGGCGCCAGATCCGGCTGGTTATCTGCTGGATCTAGTGCGGTAACTTCGTCCTTCAGTCAGAATGGGCGGCCTCTGTGAATTAGTCAGCAGCTGATAGCGAGGAAAATTGTAATTAGCTTCGGGGGGAAAGGGGACGAGACAAGATGAGATGGCTTGGTGGAGCACCACCAAACCCTAGGTACCCCTTCGCGAACAGCCGCAGTATTGAACTTGAGCAACGACGAACATGTGCGAACAAGATCGTTCCCCAAAACCACGAACGAAGTGCGCAAAGTTACAGACCTTGATACGCTACACATAATTAGCAGGTATATTTGGTGTAATAGTTTGTTCAGGAAGTTCTTCTACCCTAGTGCAAAGTTGCCACATTATATCCCATGAGCCAGGATAAATACGGTAAGCAGGTGTCAAACCCCAGATGTTACATGTTTGAAGTGTACGATGCGTGTTCAAACAAGTGGACTATCTAATCTAGGCTACATTTTTATCGTTCAGAACGCAAACATTGCACGTTCACATAGTGCTTAAAAAAGCTGGTTGTGCTTCTCATCCACTGTAACATGATGCCATTCCAACCTTTACAGCCTTTCACTGCTTTGCATGCCACCTGCCCGTTCTGGTAATAGCTACTACCTGCCAATAAGGCAGCAGGAATTGTATGGGGCAAGATGAAACATATTATGTCGCGATTCAAGCTACTTGACAGGCCCTTAACAGCTTTGGACCTGGCTATCGGAAACTGGTGCTGCGACTGCAGCAGTGACTGACCCGACGACCTGAACAGCTCCAACCAAACCTGCTTCGTGGAAACAGACATGGGGAATCTAGGATGGAGACAAGAATCAGACCAACCTCAAACGCACCCACCCTCTCCAGCTGTTCCTCAGTTTCAAGTGTCAACCCACTGACTTACAGCATTTCACTGCTTTGCCTCACTGAGGAAGGGGGGGTTCGGGGGAAAGGATGGGGGAAAGCAAGGAACAGAGGGAGCGTGAGGAGAAAGGCAGGAGGAGGGGGAGAGGGCAGGCAGAGGGTGAATGGTGAGGCAAGAGAAATGGAGCATGTGCCGATGGCTATTACACTGTTTCCAGCTCTGAGGTGCAATTACGATCATAGAGCTCACTGGTGATGCTTGGAAGCACACAGACACACGCGTGATCGAGCATACAGAGTGACTTGCATGCTTTCGCTATGTGGCACATCCACTTTACAGGTGAAGCGGACGGACATCAATCGTTGGCGAATGAAGACAGAGTGCAAGGGATGGATACCAGGCAGGAAATGCATACCAGGCAGGAAACGCATACCAGGCAGAAAATGCATACCAGGCTGGTGGAAATGCATACCGGATTTGACTTGGCATGGCATGGATTTGACTTGGCAAGAGAGCATGATCTGCTTCAACGTGCAACACGGAGAACATAAGAAAACACTCACCCCGGCAGTAAGAAGAAGGGCACTGACATTGGAGTCCGAGGCAATGGCAGGTGGAGTTGCAAAATCACAGCAATGAGATGATAAGGAGGAGGAAAGATTTTACAATTGGACCAACTCTTTCACCTGAACAATTCCCACCCTGCCTCGCTGAAATGGTTAGGCGCTTCACAAAAGAGACCTGGGGAATCACGAATGGATACAAGAATCAGTCCCAGCTCAAAATCTACCCATCCGTTCCTCACCTCACATCAAAAGTAGCCATGTGGTTTGCTTTATTGCGAGGTGACTTCTCGGTCAACTCAAAGGTCACCAAAGATTATCAGATTCAGATGTCAAATCGTTTGAACTGGAATGCGACAGCAGGAGTCAGAGAGTGGTGGTGAGGTACAGGGAGAGGGTGCGTGGTGAGGTAAGGGAAAAGGGCCATGGGGTGATGATGGTTGTGACATGATAGTGCAATTGCGATCAGAGACTAGCAGTGTGACAAGACAAGCATGCTTTCGTTTCACAGTGTGACCCAAACAACTTACTGGGAATGTACAGGGAAGAGAATGTGTCCTTGGTGATCAAACATATTGTGAAGAAGAGTCATGGCAGGAACCACGTGACGTGGTCAGGTTAGTCCTCTGACTGACGGCTCTTACCATGGGCACAGATTTGACTTGGCATTAGAGCATGACTCACTTCAGCATGCATGCAAGATGGAGGGATTAGTTTACATACATGCATATGGCCCATGGAAGAGTTGGGGGGGACAATCCAACACAAATGGTCATATTAGGGAACGCTCACACCAACAGGGTTGGGATTAGCAGCATCGTCATTACCAGCATGAGCATGAATATGCGCAGTCAAGAGGAGCCCTACTTCAAAGGGGACCCAACCCAACTCTTTCCTGGGAAATCAACATCGTGCCCTATCTAGGGATGAGCAAAGGGCGAACACGAACATGTTCGTGTTCGCCCCTTGTCGAACACCCTCTTTTGCCGAACCGAACACTGTTCGGTTCGGCGAACAGTTTAGGCAAAAACAGGCGTTCGCTGTTCGCCTGTGGAGGCGTGTTCGGGCGAACCTCGAACACGTTCGTGTTCGCCACGGGCGTTTTGCAGCAGCGCCACGAACACGAACGTGTTCGGGCGAACCTCGAACACGTTCGGGCGAACGATTTAAGCTGAAAAACAAAACCTGTTCGGTTCGCCTCGAACACATTCGAGGCGAACCGAACAGGTGTTCGCCATCTTGCTCATCCCTAGCCCTATCCATACCCTGAGGGCTCGTCTCATCTCAGTGCATGACAGTGCGTGACATTTGAGTGCAGAATGCAAGAAGAAGTCCAGTGGATCGCACCTTATCATGCCTTGTCTTTTCACCCCAAAAGCAGTCAAAAGGAGCACATCTTGTCTCCCGATAACTGATACCTAAATACTGACCTGTTACCTGAATACTGACCTGAATGGGATGAGCATGAGATACAGAATACAACATTTGCTGATGGGATTGAACATGTGATGGTAAAAGCACTAATACCTTTGATGAATGACATGAGAATCTGAGGAAAATTTATATCTTGAAACTGGCACAAAACAAAGACAGCATCATGAATGAGCTATTAGATTTGGCATAAAAAACGAAAGGAGGGGGGTTGTGAACACAAAAAGGAAAGAACGTTGAAACTTTCAAAGGGCATAGAGGGAGGCACTAGAACAATGAAACTGACCGACAGGGCAAGACAGGCTAGAAATGCTCTTCTAAGCGGAATAAATTTCTTGAATCTGAGAAAGGCATCAGCTGATGAGATTCATTACCAGCACTTGAAGGGTTTCAAACAAACAAAGTGGTGAGCAAATGAGCATAAGCATTCTCCACATGCCTGCTGAACCACTTCCCCTCATCCCTCATTTGGCCAAAGGAATGCCACCGGCCGTCCATTCCTCCCTCCCACGCACCACTCCCTCGCAGCATTATGATGAGGTGAAATCAGCAAGAGCGATTGAAAGCATCATGAGCTGATATGAATGGCATGGCATGAGGCTCAGGAGCTTAGAGGCGGATGATAGACTAATTGAAACAACATGACAGACAGGGTAAATGATTAATGAGGTGAGAAGAGTCGCATGAGAATCCTAAATCATAATGGCAAGCACTGATAATGGATTGGCATGAAATCGTGAAAGACTTAGGAGCTGATGACACTGGCATATGATGCAGCATCGTATGCTAAAAGAAATGCAACAACAGAAACATACAACTTGAGCTGATGTGAAAGTACTGGAACCTTAAAGAGAAAACAATCGTGAGCTGATGTATTTGCTATGAGAGCTTGAACACATGATAATGATGAAAAAGGAATGATATGGTGAACACAATATGAGCCGATGATTGAATTTGGCAATCAAACTGAAATGCAACACCCACCATGCAACACCCAACTGAACTAAGCCCTGAGCTGGTTGATGAAAAAGCACTGTTTAGATCTCAGATACCTGAATGGATGGGATGGGATGGGATGGGATGGGATGGGATGTGATGGGATGGGATGCGATGGGATGGGATGGGATGGGACGGGAGGTGGCGATGACAAGAGATACTGGGAAGGGATGGGGGAAGCGGTGACTGTGTAGAATCCTTGGAACCCCCAACCATGACCTCAGCATGAACTGCAGAGGAACCATGTTGACATCATTTGAAGCACGGGGAAAGAGGAGGGGATGCAGAGGGGAGGAAAAGGGTCAAAATGGGGTGAAGTCACTACTCGAATGTCTCTAGGCTGCTTTGAATGAGAGCATGGCATGATGTCATGTCATGACAAGAGAACCACTACCGCTGACCAAATCAGCATTGAGCCTTGCCCTTGAACCAGACAACCAGTGCCAGCAAAATCAAGCCTCTTCTCCCTGCTTCACCCATCCATACGAATACACCCACCAACCATTCCTCCCTTCCATGCACCAAACAGTCGCAACACACAAGCATTGAATGCACATCAACAGCAAACATATAAATATAGCATCAACGAATACAAGCTACAGACCTAGAACATAGGGCTTAGACCTAAAGGATAAGTATCTAGCAAGAACATAAAACATATTATCTACTAGTCATGAGCCAAGCATGTGCACGGTGCAGCAACAGATGGCACAGTCAGCATGGGCATTCCCCTTGAAGCACACAGTCAGCACAGGCATTCAGATCCAAGGGCATGTCATTCCCCCTCATGCCATGCCTCCCCATTCCAGCTCACCACATTCCTCCACCTCTCCTCCCGTCTCTCCCACAACACCCTGCAAGCAGGGTGGAAAAAGGGGTAAGTCCCTCCATGCACCTCCCTCTAGCCCCCACCAGCCATGCCATCTCACCCACCACACTCGTCCCTTCACATCCCCACTCAACACGCCCTGGACCGCATCTGCTGCTGCTGCTGTCTTTTTTCACCCCTTCACTTGGTTACTACCTTCCCAGGCTTGGGAATGCCACTTGCCATCGCTCCTGCTGCGGCCCTCCTTGGTGCACTGCTTGCAGGTCTCGGGATTCCAGATCCGACAGCAAGTCCCGCCTTTGGGCTGTGGGGAGCTGCTGCTGCTACCGCTGGGCTGCTTGCACCTGCAGCTGTCACACCTACCGCGGCAGTAGGGCTAGAACGTGTCGCCTTAGCTGGTGCCATGGGCGTCGCCTTAGCAGGCGTCACCTTAGCTTCCGTCGTCTTTGCAGCTGTCACCTTAGCTGCTGTCGCCTTAGCTGGCACGGCCTTAGTTGGTGGCGTCACATTAGTTGGCGTCACCTTAGCTGGCGTCGCCTTAGCTGGTGTCGCCTTAGTTGGCGTCGCCTTAGCTGGCGTCGCCTTAGCTGGCGTCGCCTTAGCTGGCGCCGCCTTAGCTGGCGTCGCCTTAACTGGCGTCGCCTTAGCTGGCGTTGCCTTAACTGAAGTCGGCTTAGCTTCCGTCGTCTTTGCTGGTGTCGCCTTAGCTGCCGTGGCTTTGGTTGCTGCAGCTGCGACGGTCGCTTGACCGCTGTGCACTGCTCTGGGCTTCACAGCAGCAGCGGTACCCATCACATCCCTGGGCCTGGGCTTCTTGCTGGGCGGCTTAGCCACGGGCTTGGGTCGCAGAGGGGAGAAGCCGAGCGACGCACGGGGGGGGTGGATAGCGCACTGCTCTTTCTCGCTGAAGCGCCCCACGCGCCATGCAATCGCGCGCCGCCACATCTCCAAGACGTTAGCGCCGTGGCGCGTGCTGCTGGAGCTACTGCTGATGCCGCACACCGCAGCGGATCCAACAAGAGACGTGGTGATCCGAGATGCCATCGCACTAGGAGCGAGAGGCTAATCGCACAGGCCGAACGAGAGGCGAAGCTAGGAGCTGAAGCTGATCGAAGTTCCGAGGAGCTAGAAGCTGAGTCTGAGAGATAAAGGAATAAGGAGATTGCAATCGTTGTGGTGGTGGGAATAAAGAGGACGGGTGGCCTTTGTAGTGTCTGCGAAGGGGGGAGGTTCCAAGGCGGAAGGAAGAGTGGATGGAGCTCGACTACGGAGAGAAGCAACTCTCTAGGCTACGAAAACAAAACACTCCGAAAAGTGCTCTTATTCGGCTCTGTCTATAGACGCGAACCACTGAGGGTTTAGTCAGCCAATAGGAGGAGGCCGAGTCTGCTGCTCCATGCCGAACCTCGAAGCCTGACGTTTGGCTCGCCAATGAGAGTAGTCTCTGCAGTAGGCCGAACCTCGAAGCCAGGCACAGTCGGTTGACAACATTGCGGCTCGTTCATCTACATTCACGGAGTTTCTGGGCAGCAGGCTCAACTGTAGCTGCCCAGAAATAGACGGGACGAATTTTCCGTTAATCTCGCCAGCTGTTCGTGGTCTAAGGAGTTCGTCTACAACAAAAGAGGGCTCTGCTGGTGTTTGACTGGATGACGGGTGAAAATGGAGGGAGTTGATGCCGTGAGAGCTCGAGGCTGCTCGACAATGTCTCCGTTCAGTTCCGTCAACGGCGGAAATCGTTCATGAAAACCGAAATCGCCGCCTCACAGCCGCGGGTGAACGCGACTGCGACGGCCCCTGTTGCGTCCTAGACGGAAACTAATGCCGCTGCCGCCAGCAAATCAGTCCCGCAACAAAGCATTTCTTGGGAACTACGCTCCTAGGGTTTCGTCACTCGATTATGGTTCCGTCAGTCGATTATGCTTCCGTTCCGACATTTTCGTTTTACACGAGTGATGCGTTACTTGCATACGTATGCAATGACATAAGATTACTTGCCCTAATTAGGTTGTTATTAAAAGGTTCATGTACACATAAACCTCTCAACAAAACTACCTTGATTATTCTTCAAAAGTGTCTATGTAGAGTCTTTAGAATAAAAAAACATATATATATATATACATATAGAAATCTATTTTCACACCAGCGGCTCCAATGGCACCACCAGCAATTGCTAAAGGGCCATTGGCGTTCTTTTAGTAGTTGTGGTTATGGCTGTCTGAAATGCTAGGCAGGAATGAATGAACTAGGAAAGTGTTGGGTACAAGTATGAAACCCTAAAAGGGGTTGTACCCCATAATGGCTACCCCACGACAGCCTAAACATATATAGCATACATATAATTTGACACACCCCCATAGGCAAAGTCGGGGAGAGCAAGGGGTCACAAGACCAGTCAAAAGAAGCAAAGCAAGCTCAGGGTGGATCACAACGTCACCACACACACTGAGCACAAGCAAAGGGCCACAAGGCCAGTTCACATGCAGAGGTATATATGCAACAACAACAGCACAGTGATCTCTACCTAGCAGAGCAAGCATGCAGGTATATATATAGATAACAGTACAAGCAAAGTCTACAGCAAGTGAGAAAACGTGGGCACAAGGCCTAACAAAGTACAGAAACGCTGATGATCACCAGACGGAATATATCAGCAGTGTTGGCCCGAGAGGCCACGTGAGCAAGACGAAGCTGACCACGCTGCTGCAACTCTCGAGCAAGGAAGTAACGCAGAGCGATGTGCTTCGTTCTGTGCTCCAGTCTGTGCTCTTGATACAAGGCAATGGCGGCCTTGTTGTCTACATACAGAACTGGAGGAGAACGAGGCCGCTCTCCCAGGTCGGTCAGCAGGTAGGTGAGCTAGCGTAACTCCTGTGCAGCCATGGCTGTGGCGTAGATCTCAGCCTCACAACTGGAGCTGAGAACAAAAGACGAGCGTGTCGATCGCCAAGAAACAGAGCCAGAGCCAAGACTGAAGGTGTAACCCTGTGACGACCGCTCCGTAGCCTGGTCGTCAACCCAAGAAGCGTCCGAGTGCCCAGTGAGGACAACGTCGCCCCATCCTCCAAGCACGAAGCCCATGCCCGATGTACTGCACAAGTAGCGCAGTACCCTCTTAGCAACATCCATGTGCACCTTTCGGTGCCTACCAGGAGCCACGTAGCGAGCCAGAAGGCCAAGAGGGTACGCAAGGTCAAGACGAGTGCAGGTCATTAGGTACATGAGGCAGCCCACTAGCTCTGGGTAAGGACCACTCGGCTCTACGGACTCGTCCGAAGGTGGAGCTGAGAGCGAGTGACCTGTAGCCAGAGGAGTGGCCTGTGCCGAGGACCAGGTGAAGCCGAAGCGCTGAAGGACTTGCTGCACCATGTGTGACTGGGTCAGAATGATGGTGCGGCGTGCTCTGTCCAGGGTGATCTGCAAGCGAAGGTAACTGCGCAGCTCACCCAGGTCTGTGCATGTGTGTCTCTTCTGCAGCTCGGACTTCACCAGGGCGAGAGCCTCAGTGTCAGCAGTGGCAAAGACCAAGTCGTCGACGTACACGAGGATGTAGAACGGCGGCAGCGAAGTGTCGGTGCGAAGAAATAGCGACGGGTCAGTAGTGGAAGGAGCAAACCCAAGAGCCGCAAGTGTCGTCCTCAGTGTGTCGTGCCACTCACGCGGCGCCTGGTGGAGACCGTAGACTGGCCGCCGGAGGCTCCACTGGGTACCAGGAGGGAACGACCCAGTGAAGCCAGGTGGGCGGCGCAGCCAGATCTCCTCGTGCAGGCTGCCCTGTAAGAAAGCTATGCTGAAGTCAAGAGAGTGAAGCTCGTAGTCACGCTGAGCGGCAGCGTGCAGCAGCACCCGAAGAGTGGTCATCTTCGGGGTGGGGGAGAAGGTCTGGAAGAAGTCAACTCCCTCCCGCTCACTGAAGTCTCGAGCAACGTAACGAGCCTTGAAGACAGGCGGAGAACCTGGCGGCCGCTTCACCCTGAAAATCCACATGCCATCGACGATGTTCGCCCCAGGAGGGGGAACCTCGTCAACGTAAGTGCCTGTGGACTTCCAGGATGCCATCTCTGCATCCATGACTGTCTGCCACTAAGAGGAGTACTCACCCGCGATCACCTCAGCGTAAGAGCGCGGGGTTGGGATGTCTGGAGCATCCGGGTCTCCCTCAGGGGCAAGCAGCATGGCCATGAGATGAGGCGCAGCGGCTGCAAGACACTCAAGGTCCTCCTGCCTGTCCTCAAGGACGTCCGTGCTAAGAGCACACTCACCCCCGACGGACGGAGGACAGACAGACTCAGACTCAGCAACAAGACTAGCGGCGTAGTCTAGACGACAGGCAGCAGCAAAGTCAACAAGCTCAGCGACCAAGGCAGACGCAGCAGCAGACTCAAACGATGGGTCTGTGACAACAGTGGCTAACAAACGCGTGACAGTAGGGTGAGCACCACGAGTGCGGTCAGACTCAGGCTCAGGAACGTCAGGCAGAGAAGACGTAGGAGGGGACGGTAGGGGAACACGCTGCGGAGCAGAGGAAGGACGCAGGGCCATGAGGTGTGTGCCGGGGACAGCCGTCGGACGTTCACGAGGAACACGACGACCAGTACGACCAGTGCGAACAGTGCGGACAGGCGAGACAGGACGAGACAGGACGAGACGCAGGCTCACGACGCTCAGCAAGACCTCTTGTCTGCTTAGTGTAAGGAGAAGGAGCAGGCAGCGGTAAGCCAGGCTGTAACGGAAGACCAGTAGAAGACGGGAGGCTAAGAACCTGGCAAAGGACGGAGTCAGGCGGTGGCAGAGACGAAGGCGGCGGAGGAGTGAAGAACAGTCGCGGCTGGGCAGCGTGACCAGTACCAGCAGGTCCAGCACCTCCAGCACCAGCACCTCCAGCTCCAGCACCTCCACTACCAGCACCTCCAGTAGCTCCAGAACCTCCAGCTCCAGCGCCTCCAGCGCCAGCACCTCCAACAGCTCCAGGAACTCCAGTAGCTCCAGAACCTCCAGCGCCAGCACCTCCAGCCAGCACCTCCAACAGCTCAAGGAACTCCAGTAGCTCCAGAACCTCCAGCGCCAGTACCCCCAGTACGAGCGCCACCAGTAGCAGCACCCCCAGACTCAGCAGAACCACCAGCCCCAGCAGCTCCAGTACCTCCAGTTCGAGCACCTCCGGGACCAGCGGCTCCAGGAACTCCAGTAGAAGCGCCTCCAGGAACTCCAGTAGAAGCGCCTCCAGTAGCTAAGTCACTAGCTCCAGTGTCTCCAACGCCAGTGCCGGCCGCAGCAGGGCCCCCAGCTCCAGCAGCACGACCCTGACGGCTAACGTACCACTCACGTAGCTGCTGTGGGGAGAGAGGGAGACGCGGAGGAGAGAGCTGTGACGAGGCACCAGCGGAGCGACTACGGAGGCGGCCGCTCCAAGGAGACTGCACACCAGGCGCCTCAGTGCCCCCAGGCGCAGTACCCCCAGGCTCCGCACCCTCAGGCTCAGCACACCCAGGCTCCTCACGCTCAGGCTCAGCACCTCCAGGCTCCACACCCCCAGGCTCAGCACCCCCAGGCTCCGCACCCCCAGGCTCAGCACCCCGAGGCTCCACACCCCCAGGCTCAGCACCCCCAGAAGCAGCACCCCGAGCAGGACCACCCCCAGTAGGACCTGAGTCACCAGTGACCTCAACCGGCTCAGTCAAGGGAGGAGGGTCTACCTGAGACACACCTGAAGGAGCAGGACCTACAGTGGGGAGGGGGTCTACCTGGGGAGGACCTGGAGCGAGGAAGAGCGGCGGGGGGGGAGAGAGACGCAGTGCGGTAGGGAAAGAGACGATAAAAGGGGACCGACTCGTCAAAGGTGACGTCCTGAGATGCAAAGACACGGCGCGAGGCGGGGTCGTAAAACTGCCAGCCAGGCGCGCCAGGAACAAAGCCAAGGAAGACGCAGGGAATGGCGCGAGGGGAGAGCTTGTCCGCAGTGGTATCGCGGACAAAGGCACGAGCACCCCAGACCCGGAAACGCGACGCATCGCCAACCTCCCCCGTCCAAAGCAATGTGGGCG